ATGTAACACTCTACACGCAATGTAACACTCTACACGCAATGTAACACTCTACACGCAATGTAACACTCTACACGCAATGTAACACTCTACACGCAATGTAACACTCTACACGCAATGTAACACTCTACACGCAATGTAACACTCTACACGCAATATAACACTCTACACAGAAAGTCTCTTGATGTAAGTCCCTGCTAAAGCTGTGTACTGTGTACTGTGTACTGTGTACTGTGTACTGTGTACTGTGTACTGTGTACTGTGTACTGTGTACTGTGTACTGTGTACTGTGTACTGTGTACTGTGTACTGTGTACTGTGTACTGTGTACTGTGTACTGTGTACTGTGTACTGTGTACTGTGTACTGTGTACTGTGTACTGTGTACTGTGTACTGTGTACTGTGTACTGTGTACTGTGTACTGTGTACTGTGTACTGTGTACTGTGTACTGTGTACTGTGTACTGTGTACTGTGTACTGTGTACTGTGTACTGTGTACTGTGTACTGTGTACTGTGTACTGTGTACTGTGTACTGTGTACTGTGTACTGTGTACTGTGTACTGTGTACTGTGTACTGTGTACTGTGTACTGTGTACTGTGTACTGTGTACTGTGTACTGTGTACTGTGTACTGTGTACTGTGTACTGTGTACTGTGTACTGTGTACTGTGTACTGTGTACTGTGTACTGTGTACTGTGTACTGTGTACTGTGTACTGTGTACTGTGTACTGTGTACTGTGTACTGTGTACTGTGTACTGTGTACTGTGTACTGTGTACTGTGTACTGTGTACTGTGTACTGTGTACTGTGTACTGTGTACTGTGTACTGTGTACTGTGTACTGTGTACTGTGTACTGTGTACTGTGTACTGTGTACTGTGTACTGTGTACTGTGTACTGTGTACTGTGTACTGTGTACTGTGTACTGTGTACTGTGTACTGTGTACTGTGTACTGTGTACTGTGTACTGTGTACTGTGTACTGTGTACTGTGTACTGTGTACTGTGCACTCTGTACTGTGTACTGTGTACTGTGCACTGTGCACTGTGTACTGTGCACTGTGTACTGTGCACTGTGTACTGTGCACTGTGTACTGTGCACTGTGTACTGCGTACTGTGTACTGATGTGCTAAAGCTGAACAGAACTGAACAATGATATGATGATTGTTATAAGTTATATATTCTTGCCGAAGCTCAATGACGTCACTACGAAGCTCAATGACGTCACTCCTATTTTTCTTTGTTTCAAGTCAGTAGTGCAGATTTTCAAACAAGTTACAAAATTATAGATTTTGACTATTGATGTGTGTTGCAAATTCTTACGAAATTTCATCTCATAGTGACACAGAAAACAGTATATATATATATACATAAAACAGTGAAGATAATCATATTTTTACAGCGTGATCTGTCACAGCATCTGCCGACTCTAAAAGTGTTTATCTAAGAAGACACGTACTGTGACAAGGCCTACTTAAAAAGGAGCGCTAATTTGGATTTTGTTGAACCAGACGAAATTAACATTTTCTCTACAATAATTTTGTTACAGCAGAAAATCCAAACAGTGGTTATATCTTGAAAAACACTAAACTTTTGTTTATATTTCAACATCGGTCACTGTATCTGATCTAATCCTGGAACTGCTCGCAAGTATTGGGATCACGGTTTAAAGCTCTTTAGAAGTACATGACAAGCTTCTACTACTAGTAGTATAGCTACTAGTGACATTCTGTATCAGATACTCCCAGGCTCGGTGGAACTGTGTTGTGGTTCTTTTAACTGACGGTCTCACTCTAGTGAGTTACTTTAACTGACGGTCTCACTCTAGTGAGTTACTTTAACTGACGGTCTCACTCTAGCGAGTTACTTTAACTGACGGTCTCACTCTAGCGAGTTACTTTAACTGACGGTCTCACTCTAGTGAGTTACTTTAACTGACGGTCTCACTCTAGTGAGTTACTTTAACTGACGGTCTCACTCTAGTGAGTTACTTTAACTGACGGTCTCACTCTAGTGAGTTACTTTAACTGACGGTCTCACTCTAGTGAGTTGCTTCAACTGACGGTCTCACTCTAGTGAGTTGCTTCAACTGACGGTCTCACTCTAGTGAGTTGCTTCAACTGACGGTCTCACTCTAGTGAGTTACTTTAACTGACGGTCTCACTCTAGTGAGTTACTTTAACTGACGGTCTCACTCTAGTGAGTTGCTTCAACTGACGGTCTCACTCTAGTGAGTTACTTCAACTGACGGTCTCACTCTAGTGAGTTACTTTAACTGACGGTCTCACTCTAGCGAGTTACTTTAACTGACGGTCTCACTCTAGTGAGTTACTTTAACTGACGGTCTCACTCTAGTGAGTTACTTTAACTGACGGTCTCACTCTAGTGAGTTACTTTAACTGACGGTCTCACTCTAGTGAGTTACTTTAACTGACGGTCTCACTCTAGTGAGTTACTTCAACTGACGGTCTCACTCTAGTGAGTTGCTTTAACTGACGGTCTCACTCTAGTGAGTTACTTTAACTGACGGTCTCACTCTAGTGAGTTCCTTTAACTGACGGTCTCACTCTAGTGAGTTGCTTCAACTGACGGTCTCACTCTAGTGAGTTGCTTTAACTGACGGTCTCACTCTAGTGAGTTACTTTAACTGACGGTCTCACTCTAGTGAGTTACTTTAACTGACGGTCTCACTCTAGTGAGTTACTTTAACTGACGGTCTCACTCTAGTGAGTTACTTTAACTGACGGTCTCACTCTAGTGAGTTACTTTAACTGACGGTCTCACTCTAGTGAGTTACTTTAACTGACGGTCTCACTCTAGTGAGTTACTTTAACTGACGGTCTCACTATAGTGAGTTACTTCAACTGACGGTCTCACTCTAGTGAGTTACTTTAACTGACGGTCTCACTCTAGTGAGTTACTTTAACTGACGGTCTCACTTTAGTGAGTTACTTTAACTGACGGTCTCACTCTAGTGAGTTACTTCAACTGACGGTCTCACTCTAGTGAGTTACTTCAACAAACGGTCTCACTCTAGTGAGTTGCTTCAACTGACGGTCTCACTCTAGTGAGTTACTTTAACTGACGGTCTCACTCTAGTGAGTTGCTTTAACTGACGGTCTCACTCTAGATACTAGGACGACTCACCTTGAGTTATGAAAACTTGGGTAACAAGTCGATTTATCACATGTTGATTGTTGAGTGTCCCCCCCCCCCGGCCCCCTAGATTTATCACATGTTGATTGTTAAGTGTCCCCCCCCCTCGCCTCTGCATATAAAGCTTGTTAGTTGTTTCTTCTATAGATATGATTATTTGTGTTTTCCTCTATCTTGCAGTTTGGGGTTGCACAAGGGGTACTATAGCAGATCCCAGATACATTATACCTGCCAATCAAAACTACGGGACACTGGGATGTGGGTACCTTCCAATAGCAAATCAATAAGAGTCTCATGACCAAACAAAATATGCTTACTGACTAATGAAATTACTTATCAACTAACGAAATAATACATTTACTCATCATTGACCATCAATAATTAGGACAAAATGAGCAAAAACAAGTAAGAACACCGAACAGCAGAAATGACTAGGCAGTGAAAGTATAGCTGATAAGAGTGATAGGGGTCTGTACGCAAGGTCAGTATGTTATGTATACAAGCTAGAGCTTAACATCACAACAGAGAAAGAGAGAGAGAGAGAGTACACTAAACGGTCTACAAGTTACTGATAATGGGCCGTTCTCTCAGCTAGGGTACAAGAGCGTAGCGTCCGCGTATCTGTACGTGCAGTGAAGACGAGCACGTGCAAAACTGCCGACTATTCGGAGGACGAAATCTATAAATATCCACGACACACGCGAGAGTGTGATGCGGCCAACAGAGTAATAGCTCAGATCTGTACACTACCTATTGCACGTGGGTTGCCATAGTTACGAATGGAATTCCGCGGAGCAGTCACGTGTTAGCCGGCGTCCAATGAGCTGGAGATAAAGACTCATACTATTGTCACATGACGCACATCTGGCTCACGGTACACGCCGCTAGATATAGCCTAATGAAGAAGACAGTGTGCTATGTACCTTATTATCTACGTTATTTGTGTAGTTAGGTGCGTCACGTGGACATCACCTGACACGTGTCATGAGAAGTTGCACGTGCACTTTCGCCTTTCACGTGTACACCATCTGATGTCCATTAGCCAATTACACTATACTTTCGAGATTTACTGTCTATTGATCCAGCGCTCACCGGAATTAAGAATGTATTGTACAAGAGACACGTGCGCATGACACGTGCACGTGCGCATGTTATTGTCTTATCAACCTCCAGGAACTATGTAAAGCATTACGAATATGAGAACCTGGAGCAAGTGCAGCGGCACCTCCTGGGCAGTGCAGGGTGAGACACCACCTCACACCTGGCCAGTGGGAATTACCAATACGCAGATCAGAATTAAGCTGGTAGAAAATATATTGAATTACGTCATTTACAGTTGAAAGACTCGAGGTTGTGAGGGAAAAGTGATACATTCCCTGATTAATGTTTGATAACTTTGATAAAAAATAGCAAGACTTAAATAATGTCCAAACCTGAGTTCAAGTAAAGACCGTCTCAACTGTAAAGGAGGAGAATGGAAAGCTTCTTTCCCCTTAATCCTTATCCCACCTGAGGGAGAGGGGTGTCACTTTGTTAAGTAAAAGTAAGTTATATTTGGTATATGATATGTCTGTTGATTGTCAATGATTGTCAAGATAATATGTTTATGAATAGAAGCTGGTTGTTATGGACTTAGAAGCTGGTTGTTATGGGTGTAAAAGCTGGTTGTTATGGGTTTAGGTCTGTTAGTTTTATCTTGTGCGTATGTTCGATAAGCAATAAGCATCCATCACGAGTACATCTTCTTCTAGAATATTTTATAATGTAATTTCGGGTAAAGATAATTCCGTGTGTTACATGACACTTATCATAGAGCCTATGAGGCTATTTATTGTGTATTGAAATACAAGAGGTGATGTCTAAACTTTGGTTCATTTTACAAAATGCTTTTTGTTTTAGCGTTAGTTTTGCTGGTTTGCTCGGGTCATGCTAAACGGGGCTTCTACATAGACTGGGAGAACGACAGGTGAGGAAGTTAAGTCATAATATAGGGTCCTACAGTTAAGTTAAGTCATAATATAGGGTCCTACAGTTTTATGAAGTCCTATTACTATCAGATAATATACGGTTATATAAGACTGTATAAATACGACCTACGTGTAAACGTACGTGACCGGTCACGTCATTTTTGATTTTATTAACAAAAAAGTTTCTCGCAAACAGTTGAGGATCTTTCAAAAAAGTAAAATAACCAGATAAAAATATTGCGTCAGGTTTGTAAAGGACGGAGAGAGTTTCCAGTATGTTTCAGCAGGAATGCATTACTTCCGCATACCACACCAGTACTGGCAACACCGGATATCCGCTGCTAAATCTGCTGGTAGGAGCTGGAGCAATTAGTTTTGTCGCAATTAATTAATCAATTTTGTTGCAATTGATTTTGTCATTTTTATGTAATTTCAGAAGGCATCAACATGGGATACCGATAAGAAATTATACTAAAAATACACAAATTGTCGCTTTTTTATGAACTTTTTTATGAACTTGAAAGCTATAACTGAATCGAATAGAAGTTACACATTTTTCAGTTTTACGGAACAGTATTCTATAAATTATTTTCATGTAATTATCTCAAAAGGCTAACTTACAACTAAAAAGGCTAAATTTTATTTTAAACGTTCCTAAATAACATCAGGTTTAAACGCTGTCCAGACCTACGTGGCATGGAATGTCCATGAGCCCCAACCTGGACACTACAACTTTGAAGGAGATTTCGATATCGTCAAGTTAGTTTTCAAATAAGAAATAAAATCTAAATTATCTATTTTTGTGATGCTCAGTCTAAGAATTTTGAATCATTTTCTTGATCCAAAAGTCATCAACAAAGAAGATTGTTAATACAAAAAAACTAACCTCCTTTGCGGCTAGAAAACACTAAAACTGCAATATGTACAGGTTCATTAAACTGGTGCAGGCTGCAAACACTAAAACTGCAATATCTGCAGGTTCATTAAACTGGTGCAGGCTGCAAACACTAAAACTGCAATATCTGCAGGTTCATGAAACTGGTGCAGGCTGCAAACACTAAAACTGCAATATCTGCAGGTTCATGAAACTGGTGCAGGCTGCAAACACTAAAACTGCAATATCTGCAGGTTCATTAAACTGGTGCAGGCTGCAAACACTAAAACTGCAATATCTGCAGGTTCATTAAACTGGTGCAGGCTGCAAACACTAAAACTACAATATCTGCAGGTTCATGAAACTGGTGCAGGCTGCAAACACTAAAACTGCAATATCTGCAGGTTCATGAAACTGGTGCAGGCTGCAAACACTAAAACTGCAATATCTGCAGGTTCATTAAACTGGTGCAGGCTGCAAACACTAAAACTGCAATATCTGCAGGTTCATGAAACTGGTGCAGGCTGCAAACACTAAAACTGCAATATCTGCAGGTTCATGAAACTGGTGCAGGCTGCAAACACTAAAACTGCAATATCTGCAGGTTCATGAAACTGGTGCAGGCTGCAAACACTAAAGCTGCAATATCTGCAGGTTCATGAAACTGGTGCAGGCTGCAAACACTAAAACTGCAATATCTGCAGGTTCATTAAACTGGTGCAGGCTGCAAACACTAAAACTGCAATATCTGCAGGTTCATTAAACTGGTGCAGGCTGCAAACACTAAAACTGCAATATCTGCAGGTTCATTAAACTGGTGCAGGCTGCAGATATGGCGCTGATCCTCAGAGTAGGTCCGTACATCTGTGCGGAGTGGAACTTCGGGGGTCTTCCTCCCTGGCTCCTGGGACGTACATCTCAAGTAAGTAGTGGAACTTCGGGGGTCTTCCTCCCTGGCTCCTGGGACGTACATCTCAAGTAAGTAGTGGAACTTCGGGGGTCTTCCTCCCTGGCTCCTGGGACGTACATCTCAAGTAAGTAGTGGAACTTCGGGGGTCTTCCTCCCTGGCTCCTGGGACGTACATCTCAAGTAAGTAGTGGAACTTCGGGGGTCTTCCTCCCTGGCTCCTGGGACGTACATCTCAAGTAAGTAGTGGAACTTCGGGGGTCTTCCTCCCTGGCTCCTGGGACGTACATCTCAAGTAAGTAGTGGAACTTCGGGGGTCTTCCTCCCTGGCTCCTGGGACGTACATCTCAAGTAAGTAGTGGAACTTCGGGGGTCTTCCTCCCTGGCTCCTGGGACGTACATCTCAAGTAAGTAGTGGAACTTCGGGGGTCTTCCTCCCTGGCTCCTGGGACGTACATCTCAAGTAAGTAGTGGAACTTCGGGGGTCTTCCTCCCTGGCTCCTGGGACGTACATCTCAAGTAAGTAGTGGAACTTCGGGGGTCTTCCTCCCTGGCTCCTGGGACGTACATCTCAAGTAAGTAGTGGAACTTCGGGGGTCTTCCTCCCTGGCTCCTGGGACGTACATCTCAAGTAAGTAGTGGAACTTCGGGGGTCTTCCTCCCTGGCTCCTGGGACGTACATCTCAAGTAAGTAGTGGAACTTCGGGGGTCTTCCTCCCTGGCTCCTGGGACGTACATCTCAAGTAAGTAGTGGAACTTCGGGGGTCTTCCTCCCTGGCTCCTGGGACGTACATCTCAAGTAAGTAGTGGAACTTCGGGGGTCTTCCTCCCTGGCTCCTGGGACGTACATCTCAAGTAAGTAGTGGAACTTCGGGGGTCTTCCTCCCTGGCTCCTGGGACGTACATCTCAAGTAAGTAGTGGAACTTCGGGGGTCTTCCTCCCTGGCTCCTGGGACGTACATCTCAAGTAAGTAGTGGAACTTCGGGGGTCTTCCTCCCTGGCTCCTGGGACGTACATCTCAAGTAAGTAGTGGAACTTCGGGGGTCTTCCTCCCTGGCTCCTGGGACGTACATCTCAAGTAAGTAGTGGAACTTCGGGGGTCTTCCTCCCTGGCTCCTGGGACGTACATCTCAAGTAAGTAGTGGAACTTCGGGGGTCTTCCTCCCTGGCTCCTGGGACGTACATCTCAAGTAAGTAGTGGAACTTCGGGGGTCTTCCTCCCTGGCTCCTGGGACGTACATCTCAAGTAAGTAGTGGAACTTCGGGGGTCTTCCTCCCTGGCTCCTGGGACGTACATCTCAAGTAAGTAGTGGAACTTCGGGGGTCTTCCTCCCTGGCTCCTGGGACGTACATCTCAAGTAAGTAGTGGAACTTCGGGGGTCTTCCTCCCTGGCTCCTGGGACGTACATCTCAAGTAAGTAGTGGAACTTCGGGGGTCTTCCTCCCTGGCTCCTGGGACGTACATCTCAAGTAAGTAGTGGAACTTCGGGGGTCTTCCTCCCTGGCTCCTGGGACGTACATCTCAAGTAAGTAGTGGAACTTCGGGGTCTTCCTCCCTGGCTCCTGGGACGTACATCTCAAGTAAGTAGTGGAACTTCGGGGGTCTTCCTCCCTGGCTCCTGGGACGTACATCTCAAGTAAGTAGTGGAACTTCGGGGGTCTTCCTCCCTGGCTCCTGGGACGTACATCTCAAGTAAGTAGTGGAACTTCGGGGGTTTTCCTCCCTGGCTCCTGGGACGTACATCTCAAGTAAGTAGTGGAACTTCGGGGGTCTTCCTCCCTGGCTCCTGGGACGTACATCTCAAGTAAGTAGTGGAACTTCGGGGGTCTTCCTCCCTGGCTCCTGGGACGTACATCTCAAGTAAGTAGTGGAACTTCGGGGGTCTTCCTCCCTGGCTCCTGGGACGTACATCTCAAGTAAGTAGTGGAACTTCGGGGGTCTTCCTCCCTGGCTCCTGGGACGTACATCTCAAGTAAGTAGTTTACTGATATGTAGCACACTAGGTGTACCTACTGGTATGTAGCACACTAGGTGTACCTACTGATATGTAGCACACTAGGTGTACCTACTGATATGTAGCACACTAGGTGTACCTACTGATATGTAGCACACTAGGTGTACCTACTGGTATGTAGCACACTAGGTGTACCTACTGATATGTAGCACACTATAGGTGTACCTACTGATATGTAGCACACTAGGTGTACCTACTGGTATGTAGCACACTAGGTGTACCTACTGATATGTAGCACACTAGGTGTACCTACTGGTATGTAGCACACTAGGTGTACCTACTGGTATGTAGCACACTAGGTGTACCTACTGATATGTAGCACACTAGGTGTACCTACTGATATGTAGCACACTATAGGTGTACCTACTGGTATCGGTTAAAAAGCGTAGATAAAAGAAGACAAAATGGGCTGCAAGTTCAAATACACAGAAGACTATAAGTACAATAATTAACCCTAAATGTTGATTTAACGGCACTCGCGACAGGTGCGGACGACAGATAAACAGTACCTGTTAGCGGTTAACCAGTGGTTGGAAGTGCTGGCACCTAAAATAAAACCTCTACTCTACGCAAACGGAGGTCCAGTGATCATGATACAGGTAATCTCAAGATTACACGTGTCAACCATTAGCCAATCAGCTTCCAGTAACTTGTAAACCGTTAGTTTTCATATTCAACTTTGAGACCACGTTCAACATAATATTCGGGTTTTGCCATATACCAGCTGTTTGAACTGTTAGGGCAAGGGAATGTTCCGAATAATGTTTAATGACTGTTTAATTAACTATTGTTTAATTAATAACTGGTAAATAATGTTTAATGACTGTTTAATTAACTATTTTTAATTAATAACTGGTAAATAATGTTTAATGACTGCAGGTGGAGAACGAGTATGGTTCATTCGGCTGTGATCATGATTACATCAGTCTTATGACAACCTTCTTCCAACAATATTTCGGTTAGTGTTACATCACGTGACTATGGTAGTATGGTGTTACATCACGTGACTATGGTAGTATGGTGTTACATCACGTGACTATGGTAGTATGGTGTTACATCACGTGACTATGGTAGCATGGTGTTACATCACGTGACTATGGTAGCATGGTGTGACATCACGTGACTATGGTAGCATGGTGTTACATCACGTGACTATGGTAGCATGGTGTTACATCACGTGACTATGGTAGTATGGTGTTACATCACGTGACTATGGTAGTATGGTGTTACATCACGTGACTATGGTAGTATGGTGTTACATCACGTGACTATGGTAGTATGGTGTTACATCACGTGACTATGGTAGTATGGTGTTACATCACGTGACTATGGTAGTATGGTGTTGCATCACGTGACTATGGTAGTATGGTGTTACATCACGTGACTATGGTAGCATGGTGTTACATCACGTGACTATGGTAGTATGGTGTTACATCACGTGACTATGGTAGCATGGTGTTACATCACGTGATTATGGTAGCATGGTGTTACATCACGTGACTATGGTAGCATGGTGTTACATCACGTGACTATGGTAGCATGGTGTTACATCACGTGACTATGGTAGTATGGTGTTACATCACGTGACTATGGTAGCATGGTGTTACATCACGTGACTATGGTAGTATGGTGTTACATCACGTGACTATGGTAGTATGGTGTTACATCACGTGACTATGGTAGTATGGTGTTACATCACGTGACTATGGTAGTATGGTGTTACATCACGTGACTATGGTAGCATGGTGTTACATCACGTGACTATGGTAGTATGGTGTTACATCACGTGACTATGGTAGCATGGTGTTACATCACGTGACTATGGTAGCATGGTGTTACATCACGTGACTATGGTAGTATGGTGTTACATCACGTGACTATGGTAGTATGGTGTTACACCACGTGACTATGGTAGTATGGTGTTACCGTGGTGTTCCCACCTACGAGTGAAAATTGAGAGGTAGCGCGCCTGAAAGGTAGCGCGCCTGAAAGGTATTTCAAAAATAAATCTTATTGAACAATCTCATAATTAAACCAGCTCCAACTAAATATAAAACACTTTCCGATAAAACCAGGAAAAGATATCATCTACTTTACAACGGACGGACCAGGAGGGTACAAATGTGGCTCCCTGCAGGGCACTGAGCCCCTCTTTACCACTATTGATTTCGGGGTGGGTTCTGACGGAGCAGCCGAGTTCCGGAAACTGCGCAAGTTCCAACCTGACGGACCCAGCGTTAACTCAGAGTTTTACACCGGCTGGCTGGATCACTGGCAGCACAAACATTCCACCAGATGTGAGTTGAGAAGTTTGTAATTAGTGTCCCCACAGGTAAGGATGTGGTGTACTTCACAACGGATGGTAAGAGAGACTGGGAACTGAGTTGCGGGATTACGCCTCCTCTGTTCGGTACTGTAGACTTCTCCCCTGCTGATAACGTTACAGAGATCCTAGCCAGGTTGAGGAGACATCAGAGCAAGGGTCCGGTGGTGAACAGTGAGCTTTACTCTGGGTGGTGTGACTGGTACGGAAAGGTTCATCAAACTACTGGTCAGTACCTACATGTAGTCAGCTACACTACACTACACTACACTACACGTAGTCACTGACTACTAGTCAGCCTTCTTACAATTGGGATATTTATGTAGGGATTGGGACAAAATGATGACAATCCAGATGTTACACTATCCATTTTTGATGGTTTTTGTCATCCTTGATTCTATCCGTCATCTGTTTTAAATGACCGATGGACTGTAATTTTTCCTTTAAGGAATAATCTTATTTCAGCTGCTGAGCCACTCGGAGCGACCCTCAACAAGCTCCTCTCACTCTCAGTAAGTGTGAACCTCTACATGTTTCACGGAGGCAGCAACTTTGGTCTCTCCAGCGGAGCTAGTAGTATGTATACTACTGGAGCTAGTGACTACGAAACCGTCTTCACACCACAAAGCTACGACTACGACGCTCCCCTGTCCGAGCAAGGTAAACCCGCCCCTCCCACCTCATATACTATCACCTGATCTGTTTCAGCTGCTGAGAAACTGGGAGTGTCTCTGGACAAGCTGGTGGGTCTGAAGGCCAGCGTGAACCTGTACATGTGGCACGGAGGCAGCAACTTCGGCTTGTGGAGCGGGGCACAGAACAGAGGCGGACTCATCGCTAATCCAACCAGCTATGATTACGATGCTCCACAGTCAGAATGGGGTAATGTTAATCTCACCCATCTCGAGAGAGACTAAAAATGCTTTCACTTGACAGCTAAACGAATGAAGCCTAAAATTGTCAAGGCCTGAGAATGATGAGAAACTAATTTGTTGGGCTAAGCGCTATGAAAGTATCTATTAGTAGAGCCTCACTGCCTGAGTACTCGAGTTTCATTCTTATCCAAAATCATTCCTCCGTTTTCAGGCGACGTGAAATTGGATAAATACTGGGCAATAAGGAACGTTACAGAGAAGTACTTCCCGGGAAACAAGATGCCGGTACCAGAGGACTCTAAGAAATTGGGAGGTATACCCCTCAAGCTCACATTAGCAGGAATACTGACTATTCAGATCGGACCAGGTGGGTTTAATACTAAACATTTATCTACACTACACTACACTACACTACACTACACTACACTACACTACACTACACTACACTACACTACACTACACTACACTACACTACACTACACTACACTACACTACACTACACTACACTACACTACACTACACTACACTACACTACACTACACTACACTACACTACACTACACTACACTACACTACACTACACTACACTACACTACACTACACTACACTACACTACACTACACTACACTACACTACACTACACTACACTACACTACACTACACTACACTACACTACACTACACTACACTACACTACACTACACTACACTACACTACACTACACTACACTACACTACACTACACTACACTACACTACACTACACTACACTACACTACACTACACTACACTACACTACACTACACTACAATACACTACACTACACTACACTACACTACACTACACTACACTACACTACACTACACTACACTACACTACACTACACTACACTACACTACACTACACTACACTACACTACACTACACTACACTACACTACACTACACTACACTACACTACACTACACTACACTACACTACACTACACTACACTACACTACACTACACTACACTACACTACACTACACTACACTACACTACACTACACTACACTACACTACACTACACTACACTACACTACACTACACATTTATCTACTAAGATTATTTTCACAAATCTTTCTTCCATCAGAAACATAAATATTAAATAATCTTACCGAGGACCAGGCTTAAGTGTCCATAAACACTGAATGAATAAAGATATGGCGGAGTGGCAGGGTCGCAAGCGCCGTTCAGTAGAAATAATCGATCACTCAACCAATTAATTGACTAATTATTTAACTAACTTACATAATTAGGCAATTCTGCACCTAGATACGCTGGTGAAGAAGTCCCCACTTCCCCACACAATGGAGCAGCTAGGTGTGTTTGAAGGTATTTTAGCGTACGAGCACGAGGTTACTCCGGGGCAACCTCTCATAGATGTGGAACTGGAGATACTGGGGGTTCACGACCGCGCTTATGTTCTCACCGACGGGAGCTTTGTTCAGGTGAAATAAGTCCACCGATCTGAACCATCATATCAAAATTCATATTATTTTTTTGGCTGCCAATTTAACTTCATGTCTTTAATAGCAAAATTGTGTGGTAGAGGGGTCAACTAGCGACTAATCAGGTGTCCTCTTATAATCACTTGTCCTCTTATTATCACGAGTCCCCTTATAATCACGTGTCCCCTTATAATCACGTGTCCCCTTATAATCACATGTCCCCTTATAATCACGTGTCCTCTCATAATCACGTGTCCCCTTATAATCACATGTCCCCTTATAATCAGGTGTCCCCTTATAATCACGTGTCCCCTTATAATCAGGTCTCCCCTTATAATCACATGTCCCCTTATAATCAGGTGTCCCCTTATAATCACGTGTCCCCTTATAATCAGGTCTCCCCTTATAATCACATGTCCTCTTATAATCACGTGTCCTCTTATAATCACGTGTCCTCTTATAATCACGTGTCCCCTTATAATCACGTGTCCCCTTATAATCACGTGTCCCCTTATAATCACGTGTCCCCTTATAATCAGGTGTCCTCTTATAATCAGGTGTCCTCTTATAATCACGTGTCCCCTTATAATCACGTGTCCCCTTATAATCACGTGTCCCCTTATAATCACGTGTCCTCTTATAAATATAATCACGTGTCCCCTTATAATCACGTGTCCCCTTATAATCACGTGTCCCCTTATAATCACGTGTCCCCTTATAATCACGTGTCCCCTTATAATCACGTGGCCCCTTATAATCACGTGTCCCCTTATAATCACGTGTCCTCTTATAATCACGTGTCCCCTTATAATCACGTGTCCCCTTATAATCACGTGTCCCCTTATAATCACATGTCCTCTTATAATCACGTGTCCCCTTATAATCACGTGTCCCCTTATAATCACGTGTCCTCTTATAATCACGTGTCCCCTTATAATCAGGTGTCCCCTTATAATCACGTGTCCCCTTATAATCAGGTGTCCTCTTATAATCACGTGTCCCCTTATAATCAGGTGTCCCCTTATAATCAGGTGTCCCCTTATAATCAGGTGTCCCCTTATAATCACGTGTCCCCTTATAATCACGTGTCCTCTTATAATCACGTGTCCCCTTATAATCACGTGTCCCCTTATAATCACGTGTCCTCTTATAATCACGTGTCCCCTTATAATCAGGTGTCCCCTTATAATCACGTGTCCTCTTATAATCACGTGTCCTCTTATAATCAGGTGTCCTCTTATAATCACGTGTCCTCTTATAATCACGTGTCCCCTTATAATCAGGTGTCCCCTTATAATCACGTGTCCCCTTATAATCAGGTGTCCTCTTATAATCACGTGTCCCCTTATAATCAGGTGTCCTCTTATAATCACGTGTCCCCTTATAATTACGTGTCCTCTTATAATCAGGTGTCCTCTTATAATCACGTGTCCCCTTATAATCAGGTGTCCTCTTATAATCAGGTGTCCTCTTATAATCACGTGTCCCCTTATAATTACGTGTCCTCTTATAATCAGGTGTCCTCTTATAATCACGTGTCCTCTTATAATCACGTGTCCCCTTATAATCACGTGTCCTCTTATAATATTAATATTAATATTAAATCTAATGATTGAAAGCTGGACGGTGCCAGGTGGTTCTAATGACCAATTAAAATATATAAAATAATAGTGAATAATAATCCCTCTAAACAGTTACTGTTGTAACTTAAGATTTCTCACATCTTGTATTCCTTGTATTCCTTGTATTCCTTGTATTCCTTGTATTCCTTGTATTCCTTGTATTCCTTGTATTCCTTGTATTCCTTGTATTCCTTGTATTCCTTGTATTCCTTGTATTCCTTGTATTCCTTGTATTCCTTGTATTCCTTGTATTCCTATAATCATGTTACTCAGGTGGTAAGGAGAGAGGAGGAGGTTAAGTTCAATATAACCGCTCACAAAACAATTACTATTATGGTGGAGAATATGGGTTATATCGGCTTCAGTAAAGCAATGCTGGACTACAGCGCAGGTATAATTTGGTCTGATTCTAGCTCTAGGCTTTGTTAGAAATATCATAACAGCAGTGCTATCCTTTAACAAATTACATGACTTCTGAACGGCGGACACCTTCAGAGATCTCATCATTCCCCCCCCCCCCCCCCCCCCTTCAGAGATCTCATCATTCCCCCCCCCCCCCCCCCCCCCCTTCAGAGATCTCATCATTCCCCCCCCCCCCCCCCCTGTTTTTTAACGTTCATTAATCTGATGACACCACCAGAGTACAAAGGGCTAAAGAATGTAACAGTTAACGGTTGCATCTGGACACACTGGAACCACTACAAAATAAACGTAACTGACACCTCCAGAACAACGGATCACATTTCTTCTGTTTATCCTTATAAGGTGATTTCAGTACCTTCGTTCTTACAACTAAATATACAAATTCAACTTACAAAATCGATCAAATTGTTTTAAATATATAAGTGAGTTCAAAACTGAAAACGATATTGTTAGGCCATGCAGCTAAAATAACACTTTTTTGCAGGCGAAAAGCTGGAAAGGGAAAACGTTGCTACCAAAAGGACCGGCAGTTTTCAGCGGTGAATTTGTTTTGGAAAAAAGTCAACTGCTGGATACATTTGTCAGTAAGTGAAAAAATGATGAAATACGTATTTCACACTGCTCAATTAATTTTTGAATCGTCCACATGTTTTCAATTTCCATGATCTATCAGTTGCAGTTAAAATTTCAAAAACGATGCAAAAAGTGCGCCAGAAATGTTTAGATAATTGATAAGAAATGGAGTGCTGCGAGACAAGAATTTTACTAATTGGTCGAAATAAGAATCTTACTAATCGGTCGAGATAAGAATCTTGCTAATTAAATTACTAATTGGATTGTCTAATGATGCTGACAAACTGTGAGCTTAGTATAAATCAAGTTTGTATAGTCAAATGCAACATGTAGGCGAGTGACCGATTTCATTCTCGGTATCATTTTGCATTTGCGGACGGTTATTCAAATTAATATCATTTACTTTTGATTGGGAACCGGAAAGAGAGACACTGGCAGCGGTCCACTCTAATCATGGGTTTTGGTCCAATTATGGGTTTTGGTCAAATAGTACATAAGTAATAAGTATTTATGTGAATTGACAGTTGACACCATTATTGATATTCTTAAATCACTAATAACGAGATTAGCAATTTAGAATGTCAAATGTAGAAGCTCCCATCCTCTCGACTTTCTCTTTTTGTAGTCTTATTTGTTTGTATGCAGGAAGGTAAAGGGGCTAACAGCTAGGGAATAACTGTGAAATTATGAATTTATTAAAAATTATAACTTAATACTACATATTAACCATTGCTAATGGTCTGGCCCGGCGCGCGCTACTTCGTAGCTTGTAGCATTTGCCATCGGGCCAATATTTCGAGAAGAAAGTGGCGCGCGCTACTTCGAAGAGATTTAGACGAGTAACATCCGTCAATACTACATAGTAAATATCATAAGATGATAATATTGAGTAGATTTAAGATTCAACGTAACATGACCGTATTGAATGGAGTTGGGTTGAAAACATATAAGTGATACGATAGTTTAACTTATAGGTAATTGACGATGTCAATTCATGGCAGCTCGGCGCGGCACAGTAGCGCATCGCGCTACAAAACTTATAGAAGCTTTCAATAAACATGTGTTAATCGTTATCAGCCGTATTGCGTTGAAATCCACTGAAATTTCGAATATATTTAACAAACCTTAACAATCTTCTTCGCTTCGTTTGTTTCATTTTTGCAGTCTGCATATTTGCCGTCACAAAACCAATCATCTGGAAAACAACCTTAACCACAGGCTTGTCCGCCGCCGCCAAACGCCGCCGGTCAATTTGACGACGCTGCACGCCGCCGATACCACCCCTGGCGTACGACGGCGTGAATAAATCGAATTTTTGAAGTTTCATTGAAAATTCAATTTGCAGATTGAAAAATTAAATAAATAAATAAATCAAATTAGAATCAAATTTTTGCACAGCTCAAATTTACTTTAATTGTATTTGTCGGAAAAAAAGCACGATAATGTAGATTCATAATTATAAGCGGTGCACGATAAAAATAAACTTGCTCGGATTTTCAAAATTTTTGTACCATCGTTTTCTAGAGACTGTGAGAATTTTCACAGTACCAAATTTATCATACCTTTTTGGAATGATCAGTGAGTTTCGCCTAGGTGCCATATTTGATGGTGCGCGGCTTTTGGAGCAAAATTAGGTGTAAAAGTCGCGTAATTTGACGAAATTCGTTGATTTTTGTCGTATTATTCTGTCATATCTTCGGTTCCTGAACATGAATCATGCTGAAAATTTGTCAGAACCTTCCAATCATACTTAACTACCGAACCTAATTTAGTTGGGAGAGATTGGCCTTGACTAAGAGGTCTAAAAATGACAAAATAGGTATAAATTCGTTGATAACTCAAATTCTGAGCATCGAAATTGCTCAAACTAAATTAGGTTCAGTATAACATAAATGTTTACGTAAGCTGACCAAATTTCAACAAAATTGTTATATGGGAAGTATTATAACTTTTCGATTGTTTCCAAAATAATGTGCTGGCCGAAATAAGAGCTAAAAAACCATTTAATTGTCAATGGTCAGCGCGCGCGTCTTATTGTCGATGGCGCACTGCCTAATAATTATAATAGACCAAATTTTTAGGGTCGATCTCAGGGTCGATCTCAGGGTCGATCTTGACCATTGTTAATGATCTGGCCCGGCGCGCGCTACTTCGTAGCACTTGTGACTTGCCATCGGAGAAGAAGGCGGCGCGCGCTACTTGTCATACGTTGTATGACCCGCCGCGCACGAAGTGCGCGGCTCCCCCTGTATCGTCGAAGACGATACAGTGAAGACGATAATAGTGAAGCGACAGTGGGGGTCACCACGTGATACAACGCGCTACTTCGAAGAAATTTAGACCAGTAACATCCGTCAAGGTCGATCTCACGCCGCCGCCGCTGGTGAGTTTAGGGCCCACGCCGCCGCCGACTGGTTTAGCCACGGCGGACAAGCCTGCTTCATGTTCACCATTTGAAAATTTTATAAGCGTGACTGTGAGGCCTTCGCGATCTGTTCCGCAGCCTGTTTGAGTAAGTAAAGTTTTTTTAAGATAGATTTTTAAATTTAAAAATTTGTTTTTAAAGAGAGGCTGGGCCAAAATAGCCCGCGAGAGGATAACATTGAAATGTTTACGGTAGATGTTAAGACTAAGAAATGTACATAAGTCCAGCAAATGCAAATTCCAATGGAGGTGGTCTGCACAATTTATTTAGACTCAGCACGCAAACTTATCTTTTTCAAATACCATATCTGTTATCGGACTTTATTTATTGAACGAACATCATGAACGCTAGGGCTTCCAGCGTTCAAGTTGCGCTCCTACTAAATCGCTCGCCCAAATTTTAAGAAAATTCTTGTGAAAAGGCCCTTTGGGCATGAAAGTGATCTGGATCGGTGTATTTTTGGACGCTGATTCCAAATCACCCCCCATGACGTAGGGTTAAATTGCTTCCCTGGAGAGTTATGGGCAAAAAACCGTTTTGGTCACGAAAGAAATTTAGACGAGTAACATCCATCAAGTGTTCAAGTAAAAATTAATTGATGCAATATTTGAACGATCTTTGAAGAACGATTACCCTTAATAATGTGTCAAATTTAAGCATGAATTACTCTACTGCCTGGTTTCAACTTTTCAAGTTAAATGTTGAAGTTAAATTAAAGTTAAATTCTATAACAATCACGACCATTTCCACTGCTCAGATATAACGAGGAGTTGGAGTAAAGGCTACCTCCTTGTGAACCGTATCCTGATAGGACGGTACTGGCCTGATGCCGGACCACAATACACTCTATATTTACCCGGTAATCATATCTAGTTAACACATATCTCCAATGTTTTTAATTTTACTCACAGTTGGTTAAAGATTATATCTGTACTAGTAAATGTTAATTTTAGCAAATGAGGGCTCTACTGAACCTGCTCATTGTTGCAGGAGTTTGGTTGAAGGAAGGAATCAACACGATAAGTTTAGTAGAACTACAGAGTTACATGCCCGCTGAGAACAGTATCTACCTGACTGACAAACCTTTTATTGATGGCCCAATCAACCCAGATGCTTAATTGTATTGGACTGTCTTTTGGTTTAGAGAGAATCTGAATATTAACAGGACCAGTTATAGCCATAAGTTAATAATATTATTATTATTATATTTCAGTTGAATAGTACCGAGAATGAAATTATCGGTCGCTTGCTTTTCCCTTTCACATTTCATTCACGGCTTACAAATTGTAATAAGTTTCGATTTATAACATGTAATCTATTGCAATTGTAAATGAATGGGGAAAGCGAGCGACCAATTTTACTCTCGGTATCATTTTGCATTTGATTACGGTCATTCAAATTGATATCATTGCCTTTTGTTTGGGAAAGAGAGACACTGGCAGCGGTCCACTCTACCCATGATTATGGTCAAATATATTTTATAAAAATATTCAAAAATTTGATTATGGGTCCGCCACCCATGTTAATAGTCGCTGTCAGAATTTTCTTAATGGAGCTTTTAGCTTGTTAGTTTATAACCTACAAGTACAAACAACAAAGACGCGCGCCGAGTTGGAATCGTCGACGCCCGACGGTCTTGGTCAATATTTGGAACAAATATTTTACGACTGCATTGTGTTTGCAGTTGCTGCTGTTACTGGGGTCCCCAGGTAATTGCTGCTGCTGACCTGCTGTAAGTAATAATTAACGTAATTTAATTAGACGCGCGCACTGTATTGTGCGTCTCTGGTCTCATTTCAAAACTGATTCTATAAGAATCAGTTTGTTGGAGATTTTCTATAAGAACGTCACCGCAGCCGACGTGGACATAAAGTTTATTATGGTTGTGGCAGAAGGACTTTCGTCAAAACTGTGCCAAATCAAAAGGTTGAAAATCGAGTGTTTCGCAGTAAATAACTTTAAATTTAATTGACGATGTCAATTCATCGCAGCTCGGCTTTCGCTGTGAGAAGCCTCATATTGAGTGCGCGGCGCAGCATAGTAACGTATCGCGCTACAAACTTTAAATATATTTACAACTATCTGGAAAGTTTAAAAAAATTCTATCAGTATCAGTCATTAGTCAGTTTTCGAGACAATCGTCAAATATTGCACCATGGTACAGTTTAGTACAGAAAGAGGGGTGTAGGAATGTGGAATGAGTTTCAAAATTTTAAAGTTTTTATAATGTTTATGTAGTACTAGTGCGCACTTCAACTTTGCGCCACAGCTTAAATTTCAAAAAGTTCGTCATGATCATGCGTTGAGAAAAGTTTAATGTGCAGACAACATAAAGCATTCAGTGTCAACCATGGCTGTAAAAAAAGTTGAAGGATATGGTAGGGTCTATCATGTATGGTCGAAACCTGCTTCATGTTAAAATTTTATTGGCAAAATACTAGCAATGACGTACTAGTACTACCGGCCATACATGATACAGCTTGCCGAAGGCAAATTTTTTAAAGCATTTTGCTTTTGAAAAAAGCCTAATTACATCTTGGTGACAGTTGATTCACGATGTCAATCCTTCGCAGCTCGGTGAGGCACAGTGGTGCATCTCGCTGAATTACCGAAGTGGTTGCGAGAAGAATTATTTGATGCGCGGCGCGACCCAGTAGTGCATCGCGCTACAAGGTGACAGTAAAAATAATTTGACAATAGAGATCATTTTCAAACACCGTTTTAAGACCGATTTAAATAATACGATTTTATGCATATTACATTAGGGCATGCCAGCAGTTCTTGTGAAAGTTTTGACCATTGTTAATGATCTGGCCCGGCGCGCGCGAGAAGAAAGCGGCGCGCGCTACTTCGAAGAAATTCAGACGAGTAACATCAAACATCCGTCAAGCGAAAGTGTTGTTCGAAAAAGGAACGAGAAAAGGATTGCACATTGTAGTCATTCGGAGAAATTTCAGCAAATTTGCTTTAAGGAATGAATTGAGCAATGAGAAATGTAAATTTGGACAAAAATGGATTGTACACAGTTTGCAGATGACCTAGCTACAAATGGTACCGACTTATGCTACCAATGAGCTTGTAGCGCGATGCGTTACTGTGTCAATTAACCAATGTGCCTTAAACTAAACAGCTATCTGAGAAATATCTTTTAAAATGTCCAAATTTTGTTATTGTCTGAACAAAGGGGTCAAAAAAGTTGGCCCCTTTTCTGCACATAGTCTTACTGCAATGCAGATAAATTAGCTGCAGATGGTAAAACTACAAGTTATCTGATGTCTGAGAAATATCTTTTGAAGTGCCCCCCGCTTCCTACACCCCTGTACAGAAAGTCCAACTCGGTTGTGGATTAATGATTAAGTTGTAGTGTGTATTAAGTGTGTGATTAAGTTGTAGTGTGAGCTAAACAGTAAGGTAGCATAATGATATAAATATAATATATCTATTATCTGCTTTGTAACAATCAAAATAATTAAAAAAATATCACTGCATTGGCTTAATATATTTATGACAATTATTTATTGACCAAAAAGTAAAAAAAAAGCACAGATGACAGATCACGGCGGAGTTAAACTTAAACTGCAGATGTCTGATACAAGTTTTATCGGAGTTCAATTCTAGATACATACAGTACATACAATACAAGGTGCTCACAATTTGTCCATTGTTAATGGACTAGCCTGGCGCGCGCTACTTTCAACTTTTTAGCACTTGCCTCGGGCTAACATTTCGAGAAGAAAGCGGCCCGCGCTACTTCGAATAAATTTGGGGGCCACTAGATGACGTGTGCAATGGACAGAGGAGAATAGCCATAGTTATTTTTACACTTACAATTTTACCCAAGCCTAAACCCCGGTGGAACCGAATTAAATCAAGAATTTGAGACCAATTACTCTGCTTAATATTGATTATTGACTACATGAACCTTTTCACTTAATTTGCGAAAAATAAGATTATCAAGGCTATCCCTACCAACTTGGCATATTACTTGGCACTAATATTCAATATAATACTTCCTTGTACTTGTAGTAAATTTACGTTGTCCTTGAGTTCACCTTTTTGAAAATTAAAACAATCAAATTGAGGTTCTCTACAATCTACAAAGAAAGCTGTTTTAATACATAAAAGCATTATTAAACTTTTTACACTTTGAGTTAAAAACCAAGAACCGTAACAGTAAAATGTCTCTTTTGAATCTGAAAATCAATTAGGTAACCATCAGTCATGCTTGTCAGGTGAATTTGATTATTTAAATATTTAACCGAATCATGTAAAATTAGGACTTTTGATTTTATCTTTTTCAGTTAATCATAATGTAAACTTGCATTGTTTCAGGTATAGTAGTTGAACACATATTTTAATACTGGTCTGAAGTGAGAAATCTTTACCTATTTTGATTAATACTGATAATCATTTCAGCCTCCACACATAACAACTACACTAACTAAAGTTATTAGTAGTTTTATAAAATTATCAGTACATCTCGCCACGATCATAGTCTGTATGAAAAATAGATATCAAAATTAACTCTGATAATAAATCAACACGAGACGTTTAACCATCAATCTTGTGTTGAACTTTCAGCAGCAACAAAACAATCACAATGTTGTGTAGTGTAGTGTAGTTTCAGCAGCAACAAAACAATCACAATGTTACCTAGTTACCATGGTAACACAATGCCAGTCCCTATTTATTATCAAAGTATCTACTCCAGAGAGCTCAGACCTAATATAAAAAATAGATGTTTCACAAGTGGCGGACAGGGAGGTATTGATAATTAATTAATCACAATGTCACAATTCTCAGCGCAGTCTCACTGACAAATACGAGAATTATCAGCGTTCTAAATTCATTGCTCTGTACTGGTACAGGGGGGGGGGGGGGGGGGGGGGGGGGGGGGGGGGGGGGGGGGGGGGGGGGGTCAATTTATCGATTGTTATAGTGTCCAATTTTAATTCTTCAGACCAGCTTTCATTCAATGCAGTATCATTGGCTCTTATCGCTAATTCTTATTCAATGCTTAATCTGATTACTTTTAATAAATCATTAGAAATTGTTTAAACAGAAAACAGCGTCATAATTTCGAGAATAATCGAGGGATAGCGATGCCTACTTGAAATTTCTGCCCACATGCAAAGTAGCAACGTGCATCTGATCAGGAAAGTCCAATAAAAACACTCTGAGAAGACTACTAATATACAGTAAAAATGTAACTAGTTTGTGGAATATTAAACTTATCGCGCAGTCCCCGAGATATCTGGAGCATCAACAACCAAGAAGGATAACAAATAAACATGATCAGAGTTACGTCCAGTAACCAGTGTTCAGCGTCACTACCGCTAGTAACTGTTAGTAACCGCTAGTAACTAAGCTACCAGGGCGCACAACTATATCACAGGAGACATATCTTGTAGTGTTATGTGGCGTCTGTGTGCTACAAATAAATTTACAAACTGAACGTAAACTCCTCCGAATTTAGGTGAGTAAAAAAGTCGCCATGATCCTCCTTCGCTAGAACTTCGTCTCTATCATACTGAAATGAAACTGTTATAGATGGATCATACCATACTTCAGATGAATTGTTAATCGTAGAAAAAATATTATTCGTCATGAAAATCCTGTTTATGATGACACATCATGTTAAAATTGACCACATTAATAAATCTCATGCATACAGTTTAAATGAAATACATGCTAATTGAGTGCTTCTCTGACGTTCATGCTTCAGATAAGGTTTGCAAGCAATGCTCTTTTATTTAAGACTCAAGACATTTTTCATGCAGTGATATTGTTTTCATGAGATGGATCGTGAAGTTGAATGTTTGAGTGGTTTTAGTGTATTGTTTTGATTAATGAATAAGAACACGTGTGATATAAAGTAATTCCAGGTTTTTTAGAATGCTTAATCTACAGTGTCAGTAATACATATAATAATATAATAATATGACCAAGATAGGTTTAAAGATATATAATATTTAATAATATATAATATGGCACTTTGTTATAGTAGTAAGTACAGTATAGTATAGTAGTTATAGTACAGCTCTGTTATGTTGCTAGATTCCGCCTTGTTAAAGTTAAGTGCTGTATTCGTCAGATCTTTGAGTTGTGCTAGACTGCTGGATATTTCTGCTGGTGTAGTGCAGCACTTCTTACCCATCAGAGGAATTGGGAGACCTGAGTTTAGCTCCACAGCGAAGTAAAAGTAGAATACCCCGGCAGAGATTGTAACAACCCGGGAGAGTCCTCTACAGCAGGGGCTGAGGGTTGAACCTTGTTTTTATCCGGAACTGCTTGGTTTCTCCCCCGTCTATTTCCATCTCTCCCACCATCACCACCATGCTTCCAATTTCTCGCCTCATCCCCAGCCTCAAACCTCTCCACCTCTGCTCTCTGTCTCCAAGGCACTGCCAGCTCAGGGAAGTAATGTGGGGCAGAGGTTTGAACCTGAGCTCGTTCTAACTTTGGTAGATCTACTTGCTGGGTAGGGGGTAGAGGGATCTGTAGTCCTGAACTGAGGACGACAGTGTGTAGCAGTGTGTGTAGCAGTGTGTAGCTACACTGTAGCTACTGTTATAATATGGTAGTATCTGGTGACTATTCATTTAATTAATGAGAAAATAGTTATTTTAGAAGCTAATTACAGCGTTAATTAACTAGTAACACTTGTAGGAAAGACCCCTGGGTCTTTCCTGGGAGGAAAGAGCTGAGATGTTTATTTGATGCGCAAGGCATCTACTGTTCAGAACGGGATACTAAACATTTGCATTTATTATATTAATATTAATTTTAATAGTAACAAATATTTAGACAGAATTTGTGTGGATGTCAATGTTTATTTAATATAATAACTTTAATCCCACTTAATACTTTAAGTGATATTACCCAGATGAAAACCCAGAGAAAGGTTCGTCGCATGCAGGATATAATATTTCAATTTAAAATCAGATAAAATGAGCCCATTATTTTAAAGATCTGAATCAGCTTACTTATCTCTTGTCAGACACTGCACTGTATCTATAACTGTTTTAAATAATTCGTTATCAAAAAATAACAAATAACCACTAGGGTGTTTGTTTACAGAGAGTCTACATCAAAGTTTACCTTATATTAGAAGCTACTGGTATCACTGGCGAAGTCCATCATGTTTTCAAGTGGTGGGAGGATGGATGCACGTGCGCGCGGCGTATCAGGTATGTGCGTGACGAACTGCTGTTCACCGTACGGCGGAGGTGACTTGTGGTGTGATGTGGTGTGGGGCAGGTTGGGTACGGACGTTCTGTGAGGTGATTGTGTGATTGTTTAGGTTGAAATGTATTTTAAAGTGGAAGTTGGTTATGATTATTTTTATTGGACTTGGATTTGAAAAAGTAGTAGTAGTCAAGTTGACAAATGCACAGCAATAGTAGATGAATAATTTATGTCCAATAAATTTCCAACCGGACAGTATTTCTGGTAAGTGTAGGGTTTGATATGAGAATGATATCGTCAGCCGGCACGGACACATCAAGTGTTGGAGATGTTATGAGCACTCTTTGTCCGTCCCTCGCACTCCTTTTTCCGGAGTAGCCGGACTTAGTTCCACTGACTCGTGAACTTGACCACCTTCTAGATGCTTCTAGTCGGCTGTGTGGATGTGAATGTGTGAGTTGATGTGTAAGAATGTAAAATGTGTGAGTTAATGTGTAAGAATGTAAAATGTGTGAGTTAATGTGTAGTAATGTAAAATGTGTGAGTTAATGTGTAGTAATGTAAAATTTTTGAGTTAATGTGTAGTAATGTAAAATGTGTGAGTTAATGTGTAAGAATGTAAAATGTGTGAGTTAATGTGTAGTAATGTAAAATGTGTGAGTTAATGTGTAGTAATGTAAAATGTGTGAGTTAATGTGTAGTTATGTAAAATGTGTGAGTTAATGTGTAGTAATGTAAAATGTGTGAGTTAATGTGTAAGAATGTAAAATGTGTGAGTTAATGTGTAGTAATGTAAAATGTGTGAGTTAATGTGTAGTAATGTAAAATGTGTGATTTAATGTGTAGTAATGTAAAATGTGTGAGTTAATGTGTAGTAATGTAAAATGTGTGAGTTAATGTGTAAGAATGTAAAATGTGTGAGTTAATGTGTAGTAATGTAAAATGTGTGAGTTAATGTGCAGTAATGTAAAATGTGTGAGTTAATGTGTAGTTATGTAAAATGTGTGAGTTAATGTGTTGTAATGTAAAATGTGTGAGTTAATGTGTTGTAATGTAAAATGTGTGAGTTAATGTGTAGTAATGTAAAATGTGTGAGTTAATGTGTAGTAATGTAAAATGTGTGAGTTAATGTGTAGTAATATAAAATGCGTGAGTTAATGTGTAGTAATGTAAAATGTGTGAGTTAATGTGTAGTAATGTAAAATGTGCGAGTTAATGTGTAGTAATGTAAAATGTGTGAGTTAATGTGTAGTAATGTAAAATGTGTGAGTTAATGTGTAAGAATGTAAAATGTGTGAGTTAATGTGTAGTAATGTAAAATGTGTGAGTTAATGTGTAGTAATGTAAAATGTGTGAGTTAATGTGTAGTAATGTAAAATGTGTGAGTTAATGTGTAAGAATGTAAAATGCGTGAGTTAATCATCTTGGATTGAATGAATAAAATTACTGATAAGAGTAATGAACATTGAACGTGAGTGTTATTGTGATATGTTCGAGGATTTGTCGAGTATAGATCACTTCACGAGGAATCACACATCACCATGGCAACACGTACCAACACAGCAGTTATTGTAATAAACACACGTACCAACACAGCAGTTATTGTAATAAACACACGTACCAACACAGCAGTTATTGTAATAAACACAAAAGAGGTGACCAAAGCACGTGACCAAAGCACGTGACTATGAAACAGCAGAGGGGCGGAATACAGACACACTAGTTCAACAGTTGTACGGTTAGTTACCTAATACATTTGCAGGATAAGCTGATCAGGATACACTCTGCAGAAAGTAGCTGGCAATTAGCGGATGTATTATGTGTAGTAGTATAGTTGTGAATGTGTAATGTTGTGCAGTTACTCGTGTAAAACATTATTCGTAATGTTAGAGGTGTTAAACTTATTTTGATAGTTGTACTCTAGTAGCAGGGAGAAGTTGTGGGATAGTGTGACAAGCAGATCATGACGTGTAAAATCAAAAGTAGGAATGTTAATGAGAATTCTAGTAAAACTCAAGACGGCTACATTAAACAAACATAACAAACACAAGAAGAGTGAGTTTTACAGTTTAGTTAATAATCATGCATTTTAATTGAGAGACTACGTACAGAATACAAGTCACATTCACATTTCACATACTTCAATTAACTTTTTAAACTTATTCCCACAGAACAACACTTCACTGAATTGATTTCTCTAGTTAGAAGCTGAAGTTAGGGACCCGGACAGAGTGTTCACAAAACCTCGCACGTTTTCTCACTCTTCCCTGGCCCCATTTTCTTGGCTCACTCATCTGGAGTAGATACTTTCAGTGACTGTTTTCCGTGTACTTTATTATATTATATATAGTAGCAAACCTATATCTACATTTAAACAAGAGTATCATTTACAGCTAAAAAAAATGGTAGTTATCCGAAGTAGTAAAAATAGCTGTAAGGCCTGTGCAAAGCGCCTAGTCTCACACAAGGTAAGCATCACTTGTAGTATTTGTTATACGACATATCACCCAAAATGTGCTCACCTAACACCTAGCGACATAACTGAACTTACTGGAGAATGGTCTTGCTACAGCTGCATTTCAGAAATTCTTCCAGTGGGTGCCGTCATGCCTCTATCACCATCACGGCCTATACAAATCCAAGTCTCCAATAAACGAGAAAAATGTCACACTTGCACAAAAATTGGGAATATAAGACAAATGACCAAATGTTGCTACTGTGACAACCTATCCCACACAAGATGTTCTGCTGGCTCAACAGGCTGCAAAGATTGCTTGAGAAAAATTTTCCCAGCATACGATGTCTCCATTAGACAGCTTCACATGATAAATTTCAGTAACACTATTAGGTTTAACCCCTTTAATCGCGACCACCTATCAAATCAAATAGGTGATCATGATGATACTGATGCTGATTTGAATCCATGGGAAACAACGTCTAGTCTTCTAAATAACTGCAAATATTATACCGCGAACGCGATCAAAAATACGAAGGAGTATGAATTGAAAGTTTTCTCGCTAAACGTTAGGTCACTTAATGGGAAAATTGAAGAATTTCGGGAGAATATAGATCAATACACAAAATACGACGTTCTCTGCTTCAATGAAACAAATTGTAACACGGAATGTTTGCCTTTTCAGGGAGAGGAGCTCGAACTAGACGGTTTCTATCCACCGTATGTTCAGACTCCCGCTAGAGCGTCAAATCGTGGTGGAGGATTAGTCATATATGTTAACAAAAAACTATGTGAATTATCTGACATAAACGTTAAGAGCGCTCTATGTTGCCACGATAATCCTAAGATAGGAGAATTCTTGGTTGCAGAACTTACCTTGAAAGGGCACAAAAACGCGTTAATCTGTAATATATATCGCTCTCCAAGTGGGGACTTGAATGGTTTCCTTGAACAATTGAAAATTTTCCTCCGTAACTTAGCAAGACATCGAAACAAAAATATCATACTGGCCGGTGATACTAACATAGACCTACTAGATTACGGGAGAATAGACTCTGTTACTAAGTATGTGGATACTTTAGCAGAGCACGGATTCGCTCCTGTGATATCAAGACCAACTAGAGTCACAGATCACAGTGCGACTATCATTGACCATATTTTCGTCAATAATTGCCACGCTGTTACAAAATCGGGAGTAATTTCTGAATCAATCTCTGACCACTTGGCAACTTTTGTCACAATTATGGTTGATCAGAATAGGCTCAGTTGTAAACTTCAAGAAGATACAACAGAAACATCTTCTCGAGTAATAAACGATGACAGCATCAAAAAGTTCGAGAACGACATTTCTGCCGTAGACTGGAACTTGGTTAATAACTATGATTCTGTAGATGAAAAATTTGAGGCTTTCGAGAAAAAATATAGTGAACTATACGACCGAAATTTCCCAATGAAGGCAAAAAAGAGTAAACCAGGCCGCCGTAAAAACACAAAGCCGTGGATCCAAGAATGGTTACGGTGCGCATGTGATCGCAAAAATAAATTTTATGAAGATTTTGTCACAAACCCGACCACTGAAAATGATATTAGGTACAAGAAAATGAAGAAATTTGTGAATAAACACGTGGATAAGGCCAAAAACAAATATTACAACGCATACTTTACAAAATATTCTAGCGACAGCAGAAAACAATGGCAAATGGTTAATAACTTGTTAAACAGAAAGAAAAAAGGCAAAATCAAGATAAACAAAATTAACTATAATGGGAGCGAGATAACAGATTCTCAGCAAATTGCGAATAGCTTCAATGACTATTTCTGCAATATAGCTGAGACTCTTAAGAGAGAAAATGGTCTCGTATGCTCCGAGGGCCAGACTATCGTAACAGAAACTCAAGATAGCAAATGCCAGCGGAGCATGAATCTCGAAGACTCGTCCGCATCAGAAATAATTGAAATAGTTAAGGGTCTGAAGATTAAGTCGACTTCTGATATGAGTATACTTCCCCTGAAAAAAGTGAGCAATATACTTGCGCCAGTGCTTAGCTGCCTAGTCTCTGCTTCTCTACATCAGGGGAAGTTTCCACATAAATTGAAAATCGCGAAAGTAATTCCACTTCACAAAGGTGGGTCACGTGCTGAAGTTTCAAACTATCGACCAATCTCACTACTTTCGTGTTTCTCAAAAATCTTTGAAAAAATTATGCAAGCGCGACTATTAGATCACTTAAAGACAGAGAAAATCCTATTTGACTCTCAATACGGATTTCGAGCTGGACATAGCTGTGAACATGCTTTACTAGAAGCCCAAAACCATATCCACAGGGCACTAGAAAAAAAGCAGGTCACAGCACTGCTTCTATTGGACTACAGCAAGGCCTTCGACATGGTTGACAGCAGTATTCTTCTGAGAAAACTTGAGCACTATGGAGTTCGGGGATTGGCTTTATCTTGGTTTCACTCATATCTTACCGATAGAGAGCAATACGTGAGCGTCAACAACTGCAAGTCCTCTCACCTCAAACTTAACTACGGAGTACCACAGGGCTCCATTCTCGGACCAATTCTGTTCATAATTTACATCAACGACCTTCCTCAGATTAGTAATTTAGCTAAACATATTTATTTCGCTGACGACGCAAACCTAATAATAAGTACAGATACATTTGAACAACTTAATGCAATGGTGAATGAGATTCTGACTTTGATAATTGATTGGGCTACTAATAACGGGCTTAAATTAAATGCTAGCAAAACTAAATATATGATCTTTACAAATAAGAAAACTGAGGATATAGAAATTTACATGGGAGGTGAACGATTAAAGCAAAGTGATCACGAAAGGTTTCTTGGCGTGATCATTGATACCAAGCTAAATTGGGCCCACCACATTAGACATTTAGCCACTAAAGTATCTAGAAATGCGGGCATACTCTACAAACTCAAAGGCTCTGTACCTAACAAAGCACTCAAGTTGATA